AAATCTGGGAAATAAAGACCAGTGTAAAGAAAATAGAACTTGCCATTGGCCTTGTTCTAGGAGCAAGCTGCTGGTCACCACGCTTAAAGGAGCCCTGATGGCACAGTGGTTGGCAGGTTAGCTCAGGGGCTAACCAAACGGTTGGTGATTTGAACCTACCAGCTACTGTGCAGGAGAAAATTGTACCAGTCTGCCAGTGATCACAACCTTGGAAACCCTGTAGGGCTTTTCTTTTATGTCCCATAGAGTTACTAAGAGTGAGAATCAGATTTACAACAACAGGTTTAGTTTTGATTTGAAAACACTATTAATATTGTACTCAGTATTCTTTTATGTGTACACATATGGATATAGTAAAATGTGCCTGTGTATCTCTCCCAAATAGCCCCAAATATCATTACCTCCCAGATTTCCCTGTTGAGAATAATACTGCTTTCATTATTTTTTTGTAAACTTGTGTATACATCTCTTATCAATTTACTACAGTAAGTTTCTGGTAGTGGAATTGGTAGATCAAAGAGGATGAACACTTTTAAGACATTTCATTGATATTCCAAAACTGCTCTCTAGAAAGGCAATCAATTTTCTATTCCTTCATCAGTGAAAGGAAGTTCCCATTTTACTGTCTTATCGCCAACTGTAGACATAGATGCATGCATGCAATATCATCTTTTGATGAAGATGCTACTGCTTTCTTTACATTTTTTTTCTTTGACCGTTTAGTTTGGAACTTGAAAATGTTTACGTTATTTTTACTTTTTCAGGAATGAACACAGTGGACAAAATGTACACTTGGTTTTTTTTGTTGTTTTAGTTTTCCTTATTTTGTACTTTGCTTTTTTGGGAGATAGGTGTGGGGGTTGGAATTCTTAATTGCCAAAGAATCTATATTTTCATTTGAATGTTTAGTGATTGTGTGTTTTGTCAGACTTTTTGCTTACACAGGAAAAGGGACGATACATAGTTTTGTATTGTCATTTACCCTTTGCTATTAAAGTAATATGTACCTTTAAAAAGATAACACAGTTTACAGAGTTAATAGTATGAGTTTCCATGTTAATGAGTGGTGTGTTTAATGCCTACCATCCATTTGTAGAAACTGTTTATAACTTGGGTGGTTTGATTTGCTGTCAGTGAAATGTAAGTCATGGTATGGTTAATGTAAAATCTTTCCAGGTATTGTTTGCCCTGAATTAGCAGACCAAAAGTGTTTCCTGAATTGCTCCTCAGAAACACTGGTCCCCAAGGTGTACTGTGAGAAGAGAGTTCCGTTGGTTAGGCAATTTGGTTCCTAGTGCTCATCAGGAATTGAGAGGCTCAGAGAAGTCCTACAGTAAAGAAATCTGTATAACTTTTTTGAACATTGGACTTCCAAAATGTATAATTATCACTATTTTTTAATTTATGTGATTTTTGTTCATTTTCATTCTGAAATAATTATAGATTCACAAGATGTTGTAAAGGAAGGTCTGAGGGGAGGTCCCATGTGCCTATCACCCAGTGTTCTGTAATGGTACCATCTTGCATAGCTATAGTACACTAACAGTACCAGGAGATTGATATTGATACAGATTTTATTCAGATTTTCTCAGTTGTACATGCACTCATTTGTTTGTGGTTCAGTGAAATTTTATCATATGTTCACCACTCATCCATCAGTTTATTTTACTACATGTTGCTATAAGTCGGAAGCTATGTATCCAGTATTTCAAATACAAGCAGAGCCACCTGTGATGGACAGGTTTCACCATAATTTCCAGGCTAAGACAGATTGAAAGAAAAGGCCTACCAATCTACTTCTGGGGCGGGGGGAATTGACATTGGAATAGTATCTAACGTAAGGCCAGAAGATGAGCCCCCAGGTTGAAAGGAACTCAGAATGTGACTGAGAAAGAGCTGCTTCCATAAAGCAGAGTTGTCCTTAATGAAATAGATGAAGTAAAATCTGTAGAGATCTTTATTTACTGATGACTCAAAATGAGGGAAAAAAAACCCCCAACCTGCAAATATCCATTGATAATTGGAACTTGTAAAGCTTGAAATATGAGTCACGGAGAATTGGAAGCTGTCAAATATTAAATTGGGTGCATAAAGATTGATATCCTAGGCATTAGCAGAAATGAGCTGGTATTGGCCATTTTGAATTGGACAACCATATGATCTGTTGTGCTGGGAATGACAAATTGAAGAGAAATGGCACCATATCCATCATTGAAAGGAACAGCTTAGGATCTATCTTAAAATGCAATGCTGCATGTCAGTGATAATACCCTTATGCCCATGAGAAAGATCAGTTAATATGATTCTAACTTACATACCAGCCATTAATGGGCAAAGATGAAGAAGTGAGTAATTTTTACCAACTTCTGAAGTCAGAAATTGATCAGACATACAATAGAATTGCATTGATAATTACTGATGATAGGAATGCAGACGTTGGAAAGAAGGATCAGTAGTAGTTAGAATATATGTAGGACATCATATGCTAGAATGTTACATGATCAATAATTTACTTAATGGAAATACCTATTGTCAGCAAGAAATTGGTCATTCTGCAGGTGGACCTTGGTAGATAGAATACAAAGAAACCTAATAGAGAAGCAGTTATGGAAAAGGCCAGCAATTGTTCATATGTAAGTTCAAGTTAAGTTGAAGAAAATGGAAACAAGTGCATTAGAAGCTTGAGTATATCCTGCCTGACTTTAGCAGACCACCTCAACAATAGATTTCACACATTGGATACTAACGACCAAAGACCAGATGAGTTGTGGAATGCCATCAAGGACATCATCAATGAAGAAAGGGTTATTAAAAAGGCAGGGAAGAAAGAAAATTACCACCATGGATGTCAGAAGAGACTCTCAAACTTGCTCTTCAACATACAGAAACTAAGGCAAAAGGAAGAAATTATGAAGCAAGAGAACTGAAAATAAAAGGGCAGCTTGAGAAGACATTGTGATGGTATCAGATGATGAGGATGTCACAGAATAAGATCGAGATGTAATCAACTCATTGTAACAATGACATCACAGGCAAGTAGAACTTCGTTCAAGATAATTTAAAAATGACTGCAACAGTACATTGTAGCAGTATATTGACAGTGAGCTGTTAGGAATTCGAGCTGAATTCAGGAGAGGATGTGTGAAAACAAGTATCATTACTGATGTTGATGGATCATGGCTTAAAGTAGAGATGATTTTAAAAAAAAAAAAAAGGTTCACCTGTATTTTATTGACTATGCAGAGACATTCAGCCATGTGAATCCTAACAAAAATGTGGCTAAACGTTGCAAAGAAGGGGGATTCCAGAGCACTTAATTGTGTTTGTGTGATCCCTGTACATATAATGAGAAGCAGTGGTTTACAAATAACAAGGGGATACTGCACAGTTCAACATCAGGAAAAGGTGTACATCAAGGTTTTATCCTTTCACAGTATTTATTCAATCTTTATGCTAAGGAAAGAATCAGAATTATTTGCTGGATTATATGAAGATGAAAGAGAACTTGAAGCACTTATCAATTACCACCACTGACTATGGTCATCACCAGGAAAAAAAAACACACACAAAAACCCAGATATTTTTAGAACTGAACCATTAAGCAACATCATATTAAGTGGAGAAAACTGATTTCTTGGATCCATAATCACACCCAGGAGTGCAGCAGTCAAGATAGCAACAACGTATTTCATTGGGCAAATCTGCAACAAAAGACTTTTAAAATGCAAAGGCATCACCTTGAAATAAGGGCATCTGCCCCAAGCCATATCTCTTTTAAAGTCACCTCATACACATACAAAAGCCAGGCAATGAGTAAAGAAGAATAGATATTTCGGAATTATGTTATTGGTAGAGAATATTAAATATACCATGTTGTTGTTGCTGATTGCCTTCAAGTCAAGCACGACTCTTAGCAACCCTATGAACTAAAGGCCTGAAGCCCCTCTACAACTATCGACATTTAGCAAAGTTCAGAGAGTTTCCAGAGGCCTCTCCAACCTGTCTTTTAATAATTATACTTAAAATGTTCTTTAGAAGTGAGGATGGTTAGAAGTCCTGCATACTTTGGACATGTTGTCCGGAAGGATTAGTCCCTGGAACAGTTGCTGTTGTTGTTGTTATGTGCCCTCGAGTCGTTTGCAACTCATAGCGACCCTATGTACAACAGCCCTAAACCCTGCTCTATCCTGTGCCAATCGCACTGCCTCTGACACACCCATCCCGATTACCCCAGTCACCGAATCAATCCACCTCATAGAGGGTCTTCCCCTCCACCCTACCAAGCATGATGTCCCTCTCCAAGGACCTGTCTCTCCTCACAACATGTCCAAAGTATGTCAGACGAAGCCCCAGAATCCTTGCCTCCAAGGAGCAGCCTGGTTTAACCCTCTCTAGGATGGAACAGTTATAATAATGCTTAGTAAAAGTGTCAGTGACAAAGACCATAAGCGATTGAAACAGTGGAATTCCACAGTTGTAAGGATTGTGTGCAACCAGATCTGTCTGTGGTATATGGGATCCATAGGAGTTGGAACTTCCTCAACAACATCTAAACGCAACACGGTTTATATAGCTGTCACTACTACAAGACGCCTTGCTGTCGGTTACACATTCTTTCTTCCCTAACCCCTTGGCAGTCATAGACTTTTCCTCTTTTTATTTTTGTTATTTCAACATTATATAAATGATAGGTAACCATTCTGTGACTGCGTTTTCCTCTTCACTCAGCATAATTCCCTTGGGATTCAGCCATATTGTTGCATAGATCCATGCTTCGTTCTTTTTTCCTTGCTAAGGAGGATTCCATAGTAAGAACGTATTACCATTTGTTTGACCACTTTATCACTGAGATTGACATATGCCTCTTCTTTTTCTTTTTGGTGGAACCTATCAACAACCTGTATCAGTACAATTTGCTCTAATTACTCTATGATGCAATTTAGAAAACCATTATAATTTTTAAAAGATTATGACTAGGCCTTTTTATTACTTGGGTTTAGGAGTTCCAGAGGCGCTGCAATACTCTGATTTCATTGATTGAGAAGGAAAACATGGAAATTGAGGAAAGAGAAAGAGCTGAAAAGAAGAAACGGGCAACTAAAACTCCAATGGTAAAATTTTCAGCATTTTCCTAACTTTTAGGTAGATCTCATTTTTTTACATAATTAAAATGCCTATATAATGTTTAATGCCATAGTGATATATATTATAAAAGCTGGTTTTATGAAATGCTAATTTGTTTTCGACAGAAAAATAATAAGAACACAACCATGTGTTTCTTATTTGCATGTTGAACATATGGCTGGGAACTCCCTAGTAACAGGACTCAGTGTTGCAAAACATTTCCTTCTGAATTAAAATATAAGTGTAATGCAAGCGAAATCCTTCAAAATGAATCTAGAGATATTATGTGGATGGGATGGGCGGGATGGGCCTGAGTTTGAAACTGGGAGTTCTGATTTGATCATATAAGTTTTCTGATCTTTGTGGACCCATGAGTGCAAATAGGAACTTCCAGCAGACAGTGAAGTTCTATTTGTTAATAAGTTAACTAGTTAATATTAAGAGAGCTGGATTTTAAATCCAGCCAAGTTGCCTTGTGTATCTACAGTTTAAACTATACTTTAATAGATCATATTATTTGAACACCGTTAAATAAACTACCATTTTCCACCAAATCTGAGATGCCTTTACATTGTAAGGCAGAATTGTTTTTATGTACTGCTATGAAAAATGATGTCATCGATTATAAGATGCATCTTGATTTCAGAGATGTTAAAATGTGAACAAAACATGCATCATGGAGTGTGTGAAATATACTCTAATGATGTTAAACTTTATCATGAGTTTTTTTAAAAAAAAATAATACACTCATAGATAAAACTTTGCCCAGAAAACTTTTAAGTATTAAGATAATAGAACATTTATAGTACCGTGTATGAGAAATGTACAAGACACTTGATGACTATTTTTGATGGGTATTTTGTGTCTTTTAAAAAGAACCATCTTTGAAGGTTATTTTCCATTGGGTTATATAGTTTGTTAAGCTATATATAACATTAACTGTGAATATAATATTTAAATGAATATCCATGTTAAAAAAATTTTTTAATGCATTTACATCCTAGATTTAACATTGTTGGGCCATTTAAAAATGTGCATATTGGAGCAGAACATTAAATCTGTTTCCATTTTAGTCACAGAAAAGAAAAGCAGAGTCAGCTACTGAGAGCTCTGGAAAGAAGGATGTCAAGAAGGTGAAATCCTAAAGCCTAGAAATAAAGTTTTAAATAGGAACCTGCTCTTTTCTGGTTCCCATCTTCAAATGCTATTTTCCAGTTCCTGTGTGTTCATGGTACTCTGAGGAAAAAAAAATCTCTTTGGTTTTGATTTCTTGCATATTTTATATATTTTACAATGCTTTCTACCTGAAATGTGTAGCTTTATATTTTATGCATTCTAGTATTTTTGTGTACTGTATTTTGTGCATTTCATGTCTTCATCCAAATCCTCTCAGTCCTTGTTCTTTTGAAGCTTGTGCTGAGGTTTTAGCTTTTCTATGTTTTATATGCCGCTGCTTTGAAAGAGAACCTAGATTCTATAGCTGTATTATTGTTGTTTCATACTTTAAATTTATATGGCTGTGGAAAAATGAATTAAAATGATTTGAGGAGAAAGACTTTTCACTTCTTTGTTGCTTTCTTTTCGATTGAGTATGGGCTTGTATGTGTTCCTGCATACTGTGATTTACATAATAATTGTTTCTTTGAGGTCATCTAAATATTTTTTCCTAAAAGAATAAAGGGTGAGAAAAGAAAAAAATTAAAAACACTAATATTTGATACTGTGCTTGCTGTCAGTATGCATTACATTTAAATTATTCTCTAAATATTCAAGTGGGAAAATATAATAAAGAAATGTCTATAAGAAATGTAATTATTTCCTGTTTTTTGTGCAGTGGAAAATAGTTGTGCTTGCAGAATTGCATTGCTCACTCTTCTGTGTTTAGTAGAATGTTAAAACTGTGCTTCCTGACTTATGTGTGATCTTCTGTCCCATAGAACTAGTTCAAAGAAGTCTGAAGTCTGGGTAAAACACAGGACTTTCTTAGTAACTAGTTTATGGGTATGAAAGTTGTGCTGCGTGTGCTGAAGAAGACTGTATTCATTAGGAATGTGGTTATACTCAGGTAACAATTTCCATGTGTCAGAGTTTATATACACTGAAAGTTTATTTCTTGCTTACACCACATATCCCTGCAGGGCATCAGGATGTGGGGAGGAGGGGATCTGCTCCATAAGGTCACTCAAGGCTCCAGGCTGACTTTACCATCTGGGATATCTGGCCTTTTCAGTTGTCACAATAGAGAAAAATAGAGTCTGGAGAATATCATGTAGGCTTTTTAACTGCCTCAGCTCAGAAGTGACACATGTCACATCTACTTGTATTTTACTGTCCCACACTAGTCACATGGCCCTGTGCACCTGTAAGAGGACTGGCAAATGTAAGAGATACAGGGAAAATTTTAAATCACTGCCTTTGCCTTCGGGGATGTCAGGGGATGCATCCTGATGTGGGGACTAATAAAAGTCAAGGTCAGGTTAGAAGGGAACAGGAAACCTGAAATCTAGTGTGAAAAATGCAACAAATAAGCAAAGCTGGGAATGCAAAACTATCATGTCTGTTAAGAAAACAAGGTTTAGGGCCCTAAAGAGTCAAGGCTTTCTTTACCAAGGACTTTTGCAGTTCCATTCAGATTCCAGTATATGAGTAGCAAGCCCAACGTCACCCCTTTGTCAGAAGTCCACTTGTTTCGCATTCTCAGTCTGCTTCTAAAAGTATTGTCACATAGGAATAGATCTTGAATGTCAATCACTGTCTGCTAGACTCTTCCAAGTCTTCATTCATTGTCCAGCTTTCACATTTCTTATTATTATGCTTTGTATTGGATTCCTTAATTGTTTCCAGCATAGAACTTACACTCGTGTATCCTTTTGGGTTGGGGTGATATTGGGATGTTATTAAGAGTCAGGTTTGGGATGATATTAGACCACAGTATGCAGAGATATCCTCGATTTAGCAGGTCTTTCTGTAGGGTTCACACAGGAGGTAAAGGTAAGTCAAGTAATGCTTGGCTGGATGGGGCTTTGGCTTCAAACTCCAATACAAAGTTCTTAAACCCACAAGTCCATCTTGGAGCTTTGCATCCCAGTGACCTGACGAGATGAAAAGACACAGTCACCTGAACAGGGAAAATGGATACCTAAGGGTGTCTTGTTTTATTCCCACCCCACCCCCACCCCTGTTCCATGCACAGGAGCATAAGTGCACAATGGTTAAATGCTTGGCTGATAACGAAAAGTTTGGTAGTTTGAACGCATCAGTCAGTGGGAGAAAAATACCCTGCCATCTGCTCCTGAAAAAATTACAGCCTAAGGAACCCGAGGAGATAGTTCTTCTCTATCATGTATGGTAGGGTACTAAATCCACTGACAGTACAGAACAATTTCATGCTCTAGAAAACAACCCAGTGAAGGGCTTTGGGTTCTTGTGACTCAGTGTGTCACTTTTCTTGGTGAAGAATAAAGATGGAGTGGGTACGGTTATGGTCTTTGAACCACTTTCATGGAACAATCTACGACTGCTGAATTCTTTGCCAACCCAAAAGACTTAATAGGTGAATTACATGTGACTACCTTGGGGGAGAGAATCAGCAGGTAAGTTCTTCTAGCCATTTCCTTGATCCATATTATGGCTCTTCTTGAACCAAAGAGATGTGAAATCCAGCTTCTGGAGACCTTTAATGTATGCCTTTGAAGTCATCTCTAGAAACTTGTGAAATGGTTTTGTTCAGGACATTAACTTAAAGACCACTATGTATTTATTTTTTTTTCAATAAATTTTTCTTTTATACTGGTTTGCTTACAAAGTTCCCATACATTTTTTTTCAGACTATCTTCGTTCACATTGTGTTTCTGACCATCACTCCCATGCATTATAATTTTTTTTAGTAATTTTAATGAAAGTTTACAGAGACTTAGGGTTTCCAGTCATTCATTGTTATACTTTTGTCCCTGCCCACCCCTCCCCCCATTCACTCTTCTCTTTGAAAAAGAAAAGAAAAACTCTTTCATTGTTACACAATTCCTCCCCCAAGTCCACTCATCATATTTTATAAAATTAATCAAAACCTAATATGCCCATCATTGCCCTGTCTTTCCAGATCTTTCCCATTTCTTTACCCACACCACTCCCTTTACCCATCAAATTGTGCAACCCTGTGATTTCCCTGCTGCCCATCCTCACCTTCCATCCCTTGAGTCCTTAAACATGGTTTACTAGTTATCTATTTCTACAATAATGGTCAGTATTTGTTACACAGGATATGAATATACAGTTCACCAAAGAAGATACTCAGACACATTCACAGTGTGTGTGTAAGGGGACTGAGTTCACTTGCCATAATTCTCTCCAGTCCCTCCCAGGTTATGTCGTAATTTTCAAAGTCGTTGCTCCTGCACAATATTCCATTGTGTGGATGTGCCACTATTTCTCAGTCCATTAGATTATGGTTGGACGTTTGGGCTGTTTCCATCTTCTTGCGGTGAATAATGCTGCTATGAATAAAGACCACTGTGTATTTCATGAAAAATTCACCCCCTCTTCTATTTCTCGATTTGTCTACATTCCATTGCTGAGCCCAACTACCAATGAGACTCATCTAATGGTAGTACAGTTCCAGTAACAAAGTGTTGGGAATACGAAATTACTCCAAAACTGAATTTGAAACGTACCAAGTTGACTGCTCAGAAGCCAGAGGAAGCAGGAGGGAATGCTGTGTCCGTGGATGCAGTTTTATAAGACCAGGATGACCCTGCCCATCAGTGTAAAAAGAAATAAATAATAGTCCAGTCAATGTGTTGTTATCTGACCAATGCTGCCGAGTCAATTCTGACTCACAGCGACCCTATAGCGCAGAGTAGAACAGTGTCACAAGGTTTCCAAGGCTGTAATCTTGTCGTACTTTAGGCACATTGTTTGTTAGAAGGGCTCAGTTCTTGGGGAAAGGCCTCACGCTTGCAAAGGTGGAAGATGAATGTAGGAGAGGAAGCCCCTCAACGTGATAGACTGACATAGTAACAATAACAAAGGGCTCCAGTCTATCAGTGATGTTGAGGACCATACTAGACAGGGTGAAGTTCAGATCTGTTGTTTATAGGGACGATCTGCGTTACAGTTGACTCAGCAGCACCTAACAACAACAATCTAGTCAGCTATGAATCAGTTCGAGCTTGACGGCATATGGCAACAATGATGACAATCTTATCACATGCTGACAGGCACATCTTTTTGTCCTGCAGAGCAGCCTGGTGGGTTTGAACTCTCAACCTTCCAATTAGCAGTCTTAATTTGTTGTATGCCATTGAGTTGGAAGCTATCCATAGCCAACCCTCCAGTGGGTTTTCAGAGGCAGTTAATTGCGTGGGAGGAGATTGTCCATCCTCCTGTGGAGCATCTGGTGGATTTGAACTGCATGCCTTTGGGAGTGCAGCAAAGCTGCTTACCACTAGGCCACCAGAGCTCCAGCAGTCCAATGTTGCTGTTATGTGCCATCGAGTTGCCTTTGACTCATAGTGACCCGTTTGTACAACAGCCCTAAACCCTGCTCTATCCTGTGCCAATTTTATTGTATCTGACACACCTACCTCCGTAACCCCAGTCACTGAATCAATCCATTTCATCAAGGGTCTTCCTCTCCTATGCTGTCCCTCCACCCTCCCAAGCATGATGTCCCTCTCCAAGGACTGGTCCCTCCTTGCAACATGTCCAAAGCATGTCAGACAAAGCTTGAGAATCCTGGACTCCAAGGAGCAGCCTGACTTCACTCTCTCCAGGGCAAACCTGTTTGTTCTAGAAGTCCATGGTATATTCAGTACTCTTCTCCAGCACCAAAGCTAAGGTATCAACTCCTATCATCCCGAGTCATTGTCCAGCTCTGTGATGCATAGCAAGTAATGGCAAAGACCATGGCCTGTATCAGGTGCACCGTAGTCTCCATACTGATATTGTTGCTCTTCAGTACTTTGGAGAGAAGTCTCTGATAGCAGACTTTCACATCGCAATATGTCTTTTTTTTTATGGTGAGAAAAATTTATTACATTTAGAATTAGCCCACTGGACTCAGTTTAGATGATCCCAATTTTGTTGGCAACATCCAAAGCATCATAATCAGGAGCAAGTCGAACATAGGCCTTCTTCTCTCCATCAGGCCTAATCAAAGTGTTGACCTTAACCACAGCAATGTCATAGAGCTTTACAGCTTGTTTAATTTGGTGCTTATTGGCCTTGACATCCACAATGAACACAAGTGTGTTGTTATCTTCTATCTTCTTCATAGCTGACTCAGTGGTCAGGGGAAATTTGATGATGGCATAGTGGTCGAGCTTGTTTCTCCTCGGGGCGCTCTTCCAGGGGTATTTGGGCTGCCGTCGGAGTCTCAGCGTCTTAGGCCGCCGGAACGTGGATGACGTGCGGATCTTCTTTTTTTTTTTTGGCTGTGGACGCCCTTCAGGACTGCCTTCTTGGCCTTCAATGCCTTTGCTTTGGCTTCAGTTTTGGGAGGGGCAGGGGCTTCCTTCTTCGCTTGGCGCCATCTTCATAGAAAGAACACAGAGGTTCTTAACTTACTTTGTT